TATTCTGATTACATGAATAGATTGGAGAACCTGAGCCTTACTTCTTTGTCATAAAGGTGCTCGCCCATAAGGTTCGGTTCATAAATCCTTGAGCAAACCAAATTATATTTTTTATTTATTTGTCTTGATCTGAAGCTTGTTTTCGTTATGAGAAGGGAAATAGAATTTTAGAACCTACATTTAGCTATCCTTCATAAGGCTATTAATTTATGGGCCAGGCATGGTGGCTCAAGCCTGTAATCCCAGCACTTTGGGAGCCCAAGGCTCTCGAGAGGATTGCTTGAGCCTGTGGGTTCAAGATCAGCTTGGGCAATATAATGAGTCCTCTTCTCTACAATAAAATTTTTTTTAAATTAGCCGAGTGTGGTAGCACATGTCTGTAGTTCCGGCTACTTGGAAGGCTGAGGAAGAAGGATTGCCGGAGCCCGGCAGATGGACGCTGGGGTGGCCATGAGCATGCCACTCCAGCCTGGGTGATGAAGTGATACTCCAACTCAAAAAAAAAAAAAAGAATTCATGGACTCCAGAGTGACACCTGAGAAACAGGAGGGCATTCCATAGCCCATATTGAGCTTGAGGCAAGAAGTCAGAAGGCTCCTCAGTCTCCATCTGTCTGTGGACCAGGGCATGTTGTGTGTGAGCAAAGGCAACTTCTTCCCCTTTAGAGGTGTGCCAGAGTTCATGCATCAAAGAGAAGACTTTATCTGGTCTTCCAAGTCACCATTCACTCCCTAACCTAGTAGACCTAGGGCTGAGAAAATCATACTTTCGAGACCCTATGGAAAAAAGCAGAAACTCTTGGATGTGAACTGAGAAAACACAATCACTAATGCTGAGGACAGTGGTCTGGTGCAGTGACGACTTCAGGAAAGTGCTCAGACCTGAATCCAGCCTGAGCTTCATCTTCCTGAGTCTCAAGAAGACTTTCATTTACTTTCATTTCATACTTATCTGTCAGCATATGAATAAAGTCTCTGGTTTTAAATTGAAATAAGTTACTTCTTTTGTCTTAACTATAACTCAGTAATGGTGCAGGTATTAAGAAGACAGTGTAAACAAGCAAAAAAACTTACCAGTGTTTGATTTTAAAAAAAGAATGAGAAAATAGATTTTGTGTTTACAGAACTTTCAAAAACTAGCACTTTACTCCTTGGAAGACTTATCTCTGGATTAAGAAGCCACACCCAGGAACATTTTAGGGAAGCATAGAGATAGAATGTATTCAAAGTTCAGTTCTGTTCCCTAAAACTTTGGGGACTCTGGAAAATTTCTTGAACCTTAGCTGCAAAAATGGGAACAACTATATCTATTTCACAGGGTTTTTCCAAGATTAAATAGGATAATGCATGTAAAGGGTTTTGCATATGCCTGGTACATAGTAAGCACTCAATACATGATAATTTTTAAAAAGAAGATTATTTAGTAGTTTAGAGAGTAATGGTGGGCTAAACTGGTTTAGAGAGGAAGGGAGACAACTCTAAGAGCAGAAAGTATTTTCTTCAATTTGTTTTTGATTCTACTATTCCTATATCTTCTCTGAATTCATGCATTTCATTTATCCTTCAAGATCCCAGATCAAATACCACCTCTTTCATGCAGCCTTTCAGATTACCTCATCCAGAAGTGATCACTTCCTTTATTTTTCTTTTTTTGTAGCATTTTTCTTTCTTTCTTTCTTTCTTTTTTTTTGAGTAAGAGTCTCACTGTCACAGAGGCTGGAGTGCAGTGACACGCTAACAGCTACTCCAGCCTTGACCTGCTGAGCTCAGGCGATCCTTCCACCTCAGCCTTCCAAGTAGTTGGAACTACAGACACACACCACCATGCCTGGCTAAATTCTTATTTATTGTAGTCTTGAGCCCCTAGGCTCAGGCAATCCTCTCCCCTCTGCCTCCCAAAGTACTGGGATTACAGGCATGAGCTACCATGCCCAGCTGACATTTCCCTGTTTCTAATATTAGTTATTTGTGTAATTATATCATTTGTCTTATAATGCAGCTTCCTGAAAGAGCAAGACCTAATCTTGTTTTGTTTTAAACGTTTTCTTATACCTAGAACTGAGTATTGCATGTAGATTCTGATTGTATAAATGAAAGGCCACTAAGACAGAAACATTGGTATATAGAAACCCATAAACAAGATTAAGTTCTCCTTAACAGATCTCTCTCCTGTGTGTGTGTGTGTGTGTGTGTGTGTGTGTGTGTGTGTGTGTGTGTGTGTGTAGAGCCTAAAGTGTAGGAATGGATTTATTAACAGTTGATCTCATGGATACCTTTCCTTGAGAGCTGAATAACTTTTGCTGCATTGCCATAGTTATCAAATGTAATATTCAAAATAGAGGATATTTTTTTCTTTTGTTTTTCTCTTTTTGGGGAGTTATGGAGGAGAAAGGGTAAAGAACTCTTTTTTTTTTTTTTTTTTTTTAACGCAGGTAGGAGTTATGGATAACTCCCATGTACCTGTACAAGTGAAAATGATTAACTTCGCTACTCCAGAAAAAAATTTTAATCCCAAAGTCATTTATTTTGGCTTTAGAATAGACTAGCATTTGTGTCGGATTTTCCTGCCTAATTACTTTTTGCTTAAGCTTATTTTAAAATTGTTTTAAATTCCTTTAGTATAACAGCCCAGGAAAGAGGGGGAGGAGAAACAGGCCACAGATAGGATCTGAATTAGAATTTCAGTTTTCCTATATCAGGGCCTCCTGATGCATTGCTTGCAGGAGGGCAAAGTTGGAGTCAGCTTTGTGAAAAACAATTTGGCAAAATAATTTTAAAAGTCTTAAAAATATGCTTACTCTTTGATCCATTAATTCCACTTCTAGGAATTTGTCTTAAGGAAATAATCAAACAAGCATGCAGAAATATAGGGACAAGGATATTCACCACAACATTTATATCAGCAAAAAAAAAAAAAAAAGAGTAAACTCAACTTAAAATATTGAATAATAAAGAATTTATTACATAAAGCATGCTATTATCTCCATGTGTGTCAAAATTATAGATTTTTAAAATGTTTTCCACATCTAAGTGAATAAGGGATTATAAAATGACAAATACAGTTTAAAACAGTATATAGCTAGCTAGAGAGAGAGATATGGATGCCTATCTGTCTGGAAAGATATATTCTGCAATGGTAATTTTGATATGGCTGAGTAATAAAATTAGGGATATTTTTGTACTTTTTTGTGTTTTTTAAGTTTTCTGCTTAAATGTGTATTGCTTTGTAATTAGAAAAAGCAACTATCATTTTTTAAAAAGATACGGTTTTAATTAATGAAAAACTAAACTGTTACTATACAATGCCTACAAAGTAGGTAACCTGAGTGCAAATAACTTAGATTGAATATATTTTCTTTTGTGTGTGTGTGTGTGTGTGTGTGTGTGTGTGTGTTGAAGTCTCACTCCGTCGCCCGGGCTGGAGTGCAGTGGCATGCTCATGGCCACCCCAGCGTTGGCCTGCTGGGCTCCAGCGATCCTTCCACCTCAGCCTTTCAAGTAGCTGGAACTACAGGCATGCACTACCACGCCTGACTAATTATTTATTTATTGTAGAGACAAGGTCTCGTCAAGTTGTCCGGGCTGCTCTCAAACCCGTGTGCTCCACTTGCCTTCACCTCCCAAAGCACTGGGATTACAGGCTGTGGATGTATTTTCTTAAGGGTCACATTCATACATGTGAATGATAAGCAATCATACTGAATACATAAAGTCAGATGTGCCATAGTTAAATCATTTTCCAAGTAAAATAGCCATATTCAGTAAAAATCTGTGAAGGAACAGTTAGACTATAACACAGTGTCCTGTTTTCTGATGGCAGCACGATGGAGGTAGATTCTTTCTGAGCTAAGAGAACCACAGTTTTGCAAAGCTACAAAGACCAGTAGGTTTTCTGGGAATTATATGCAAAAAAATTTTATTGGGTCAGACTCTGTGGCTCAGCCTGTAATCCGAGCACTTTGGGAGGCAGAGGCGAATGGATTTGCCTTAGCCTGTGGGTTTGAGAACAGCCCGGGCAACTTGGCGAGACCTCATGTCTACAATAAATAAAAAATTAGCTGGGCATGGTAGCACACACCTGTAGTTCTGGCTACTTGGAAGGCTGAAGCGGAAGGATTGCCAGAATCCAGCAGGTTGAGGCTGGAGTGGCCTTGAGCCGTGCCCCTGCACTCCAGCCTGGGCAATGAAGTGAGACTCCAACTCAAAAAACAAAAAAAAAATTCATTGCGCGAATAACATTATAATAAGAATACTGAGAACATTTTAAGTCATTCTTGATCTTTGAAAAGCAATTTCCGGTGAAAGTTTTTACTGTCCCACCTCCCTTTTAAAAATCTATTCATTATTATCAACTCAGTCCTCCAAATCAAAGTTCTAAATGGGGAAGGAGAGAACGTGTGTGCTAGATGATGAAGATAACCATAAACCTTTGATGATCTCAAAATAGTTCTTGACTCGCGTGTTAAAGAGCTCTGCTTCGTATGATCAGCTGTGGGGGAAATTTGTTCTTCAGTGTTTGCCAGCATCAGCTCTGTACACATGATGGGGTTCTCTTTTATTTGCAGACCCTCAATTCCTAGGATACCATATGGCTTCACTGAAGGAAAGGGCTGGCAGGTCTGGCTCCCTGTAGTCTGAGGTCAGATGGAAAAAGCCTTTTGTGATTAACTCTGCCAGAGTGTGTCCTTTGGTATTTGGAACTTCAGCAGTTTTTGATTACTTCTCCAAGTTTTGAATACTAACCCAAATAAGCTTCATATAATGGAAAAAGCAGATAAATCTAACTCTTTTGATGCCAAATCGAATCTCAATTTTCCCACTAGCTGTGACCTGGAGCAAGTTGATTCAGTATGCTGGAGTCTCTACTTCCTCACTTAGGAGAGTGGTGCCTTCCCATCTCACCTCACAGAGCTATTCTTTGTCTACCATAAAGCTCCTTACCATGGAGGACAGTTAAATGTCTTTATAAATACATCGCCTTCTACTTTGTTTCTGACACAGTTTCCTTACGCCGCCCCACCTCCCCAAGAACCCGTGAAGACTCTGAGGAGCCTGGTCAACATCCGAAAGGACACACTGAGGCTCGTCAAGTAAGTTCCTGAAGGCTTGGCACACTTCCTAGGCACCTTACTTTGTGGGAGGACAGCACACTCCCCAAGGGACTTGCACAGCAGTTTCTGCCAGGCGCGGAACCTGCTGCCCCAGGCCTGAATGTGAGCTGCACGGTGCTGCTCTCTGTGGAAATCAGGTCCTCTGCACCCATGTTGTTCAGGCTCCATGAGATGGTCTGTGTTTGTGAAGAGGTTTCATGTACCTGGAAGTGGTCATTATCCCTGTTTCATGGATTCTTTTTTAAAACAGAAGAAGAATTATTGAGGGGATAGGTGAATGTTGCAGATACCATAACAAGCCAGTATAAACATGGAAAGTCCCTCTAAGAAACTCATAGTGCCCTGGGTCGGTTGTTTAATCCTCATCATCAGTATTATCATTTTCCTTCTTTGGGCCATCCTTGAGATAGTGTAATTTTTAATCTGATGATGCTCCCCCAGACAGAGTCTGCTGAGACTCCTTAGTTCCCTGGGGAGACAAACCTGGTTAGGACAAATCATAGGTACCAGATTTTTCTGAATAGACAAGGAAGATGGCTCAGAAACCAATTCATGTTTGTATAGGTCAGCCTTATTAGCATTAGGAAGTTTCTGTCTGATAATTGTTTTATTTATTTTATTTATTTTTATTTATTTATTTTTTAGTTGGAGTCTCACTCTGTCACCCAGACTGGAGTGCGGTGGCCGCTCCCAGCCACTACAGCCTCAATCTGCTGGGGTCAGATGATCCTTCCACCTCAGCCTTCCAAGTAGCTGGAACTACAGGCGCGCACTACCACGCCCGGCTAATTTTTGACTTATTGTAGAGATGAGGTCTCGCCAAGTTGCCCAGGCGGATCTCGAACCCGCAGGCTCAGGCAATCCACTCACCTCAGCCTCCCAAAATGCTGCGATTACAGGCTGAGCCACCAAGCCCAGCTGATAATTGTTTTAATATAACAGCTTTATTGAGATATAATTTACATGTCATACAGTTCACCCATTTAAAGTATACAATTCAGTGGCTTTCAGTGTACTCACAGAGTTGTGACTCAGTACCACTATCTAATTTTAGAACTTTTTCATCACCCCAGAAAGAAACCCTACACCACCCATTAGTGATCACTCTCCATTTCCCCCTCAACTCCTCCCCCACCCCTAAGTAATCACTAATCTATTTTCTGTATCTGTCTCTCAATTTTTAATATTTTATTTGCCCCTGAAGTTTCTGCTAGTTCCCCAGTTATACTTCTCTTTACCTCTCGGGTCAATTTTGGAGAAGAGAGAGCCAAGGGGGCCCTTGGCTGCTGCAAAACAGTCTCCTCCCCTCCCCAGGGGAGTTCCTCCAGCAGCTGAGCAGACTGAGCCTATGGAGGCCTCAGGAGCCTGCCAGCTGACAACTACTCCTTCCATTGGTTTCTCTTGTCACTATGGCACTTTCACCCATTTAATAGATTATTGACAGTCTGAGGGCCTCAGTGACATGTTGTGAGGCCCTGTTCCCTGCCATGGCAGCCTAACCATAGCAGCGGCCATCTCTCTAGAATAAAGTGGCTGTGATATGCTAGAAGAACCAGACTTGGAAACATAAGACCAATATGCTTCCCAAGTCCACGGATGCTTGCTTGAATGGGTCTCTGAAGCGCAGATTCATCTGTAGGTATCGGAGGTTCTTCTATAGGCCCAAGCCAACCCACAGTGAAGTCCAGGGTTTCAAAGTCCTGTTATGGACTCAGAGTTCTAATCAGTGGTTTTAAATTTCTTAAACATAAACAGGCAACCAAAGATCTTAGTAAGAAATGCCTATAATATGAAAGACAGTGGCAAAACAAACCAACATTTTTTTTGTGTGTCGGAGTCTCACTCTGTCATCCAGGTTGGAGTGTAGTGGCACTCTCACAACCACTGCAGCCTCCATCTTCTGAGCAGGTGATCCTTCTGCCTTAGCCTTCCAATTAGTTTTTCCACAGTCATGTGTCACCACGCCCGGCTGATTTTTTGATTTATTGTAGAGATGATGTCTCACCATGTTGCTCAGGCTGGTCTCGAACCCCTAAGTTCAGGCAGACCTTTCGTCTCTACCTCCCAAAGTGCTGGGATTTAGGCATGAGTCACTGCACCTGGCCACAAACCAACATTTTTTTTTTTTTGAGTTGGAGTCTCACTCTGTCACCCAGACTAGAGTGCAGTGGCTG